TGTATGTATGTATGTATGTATGTATGTATGTATGTATGTATGTATGTTTGTATGTATGTATGTATGGATTAATGGAACACTAAATTGCCTCTAGGACAGAATGTTAGTGTGTATTCACAGTGTTTTAGAGATCCTGCAGAACTTAGGTCTCATACCTCAAGAAGAGTTCAAGTTGGGAGTAGAGGAAGCGTAGCAGAGCTCTACGAGCTGTGACCTCGGCGTGACAGTCGTTGACCACTTGGCCGTGGTCACTCAGATACTCCCCGTTGATGCACTTGGTGCCCGTAGATAACGCCACCACCTGGGCGTACCTCAGGTCCAGATCTGTTGAGCAAAAGCGGACAAAAATGGACATGTGTGTGTAAATACAGCATGTTCTTTGTCACCGTGTTTACTTTTGTACTTAAGGACATAAAACCTTACAGTGACCACAAAGGAATTGGTCTTGATTGTGCATGAAAACAGCAGTAAAGAACGGATATGACTGAAAAACCATTCTAGGACATTTCTATAAGCACTATTTAAAGAGTGGTGCAAGCTTAGAGGCTACATAAAGCCCCAAAACATGAATAAATGGTCTTTGTTTGGGGATCATCAGATCCAAAGAGGTGACCAAGTGGTATTTCCAATGTGGCATATATAAAAAAAGAAGAGTTATGACTGAAATCACAGTTTTAAAGGCTGTCCCATGTCCTGGTTCTTCCTCCGACAAGAAAAAAAGACACTTTTTTGTCACAGGTTGGTTGGGAGGACTCAGGCCAGCGCAGGGCAATGTGACTGACAGACGGATAGACGGAGGTGGTGCAAAGGAGGCTGGAAGGGTGGTGGATCAGCGCGTTAACGGCTCGCCATTGCTCCGAAATCTCTCCCATCGCCCCTGAAATTCAGGCTTCGCTGGCTCCTGGCAGGCCTGCGGGCGTCGCCGGACCGGCGCCTGAGCTTTTATCAGCCTCGGCCCAGATGGCACTGCGGCGTTAGAGTCCTGACACCTCCACTGATGAGAAGGAAGGAGGGCAGGCAGGAGAAAAGGCTGAGGGGTGTGAGGGGGCGCAGTTAAGGAAAAATGAGCACACGGCGGATGGAGGGAAAGTCTATGGGGAGAAGAAAAGTTCAACTTTTACTCTACCAACTGCCATTTGTACTTGCTTGAAAATTGACAATAGATTCAAGCACAAATTGCAAAAATAAATTGAGAGAAAAATGTGGGATTAATAATGCAAGAGAATCTCACAAATGGCTAGTGTTCTCTTTTTATCTTATGTTTGCCACCAGACTGACTTAAAGTCTCATTGGAATACATTATTCTAAGTCTCAATCTGTGGAAGCTGAACTTTTGGTCCATGGGGAACAACAGAAGCAAATACCAAACACACACACACACACACGCACACACACACAGACACACGCACACAGACACAAGCACACAGACACAAGCATCAACAACAGGTAAAATACAGCTAATTTTTTTTATAGTTTGCAAGGTTTGATTCAGAATGGAGTGATGTTAAAATGCCACAGAATGAAAAGATTTTATTTTGCCCTGTACTTAATAGTTTAGGGAGCTAAATCAAATGTGCATAGATGGCGTGATATAATCCCCTGCGCATTAGTCTTAATCAAACTAAGCAAATGGAGAAAACAGTCGATTAAAATGATATACGATCATATAGAAACCGTACCATATGTTTGACAGTGCAGCAACCGTATAAATCTCTTCATCAGGAGCTCGGCTATTAGCATTCCCCGTAAGCATCGCATCCCAATTCCCTCCGAGTGATAAAGCAGTTGCAAAAAAAGGTAACAGACTCTCCCAATTTTATTCCCCCTGCTTTCCCTTGCCGTTCCACTTTGCCAGTGTTTAGATCAATTTTGCAGTGGATAATTTCTGCCGCGCCGCTCGCCACCCTCCCATGAAATTGGCGCCGAGGTCGCCTTCGGTTTTGCCGGAGAGAGCAAAGGAGGAGCGGAGATGAATGGAAGAGAGAGGAAGGGACGGGGAGCAATCAGCCGAATCACAGCCAAAATAAAGGAAAAAATGGGACGGTCAAAAAGGGAACAAGGTAAAGCAAAGTCAAAGGCCCCAAGCGCTCTTCAAACACACAAACACATCTGACGATCAACAGCCATTCAAAGGAGTCACACCAGAGGATGTCCACCCTGTCAAAAGGCGTGGACATCACAGGATCAGACCTGGAGCCACTTCCTACGACAACGGCGCGATAATGTCGGGAAGAAGAACACAACTCGGATTGAAAACACGCTCCCCGACCGCACACAGAGCCCAGACTTTTACATTTATTTCGTCTGTCTTTCAGCCGGGTGTTTCTTTAACGCCGTATCCTCATGGCTGAGCTGAGGTCGGACGTCGAAAATGCGGAAGGAGGTGCGACAACAATCAAGCAAAGCCGTGCAATTTCCGCGTCGGGAATTAGAGGGAATTCGTACAGCCGTCGCCCACCCGCCGGGTCAAAAGTACGAGCAAATTGCATTCATGTTCAAGTGACTGACAGCGAAAATAAAAGCTTCCTCGTAGCACGCGCGGTAACTAGCGTCTCTGAGGCCTATTTTGCCGGTTTGACTTATTTAACTCCATAATGCGTCACGCCACGGGGATTCTGGGAAACAGGTTTAGACGGCGATCGAGTCCACGCAGGCTCATTTGTTCAATGAGCGCTGTGGAACGTTACTGCGATAAATGGAGTGAGCCGGGTCACTTTTCCTGTCATGACCGGTGTTAGCAACTGGATAAGATTAACTTTTCCGGAAGCCCTTAGATTTTGTCTATGTACGCACCTATGCATTGCACAGATTCATCACATATTCCATCCATCCATTTTCGTAACCACTTATTCCCTGATGGTTTTGCAGGGGAACTGGACCCTATCCCAGTGGTCAGTGGTCAAGAAGCGGGGTACACCCAGTCCATCGCAGGGTCACACAGAGACACACAAGGACCAACAACCACACACACTCACACTCAT